AGATCCTGAGAGGAGAACGGAGGAGAAGGGATTGTGGCATGGCCATCCCCCCTGGGGGGGGTGATTTCTCACTTTCTGTCTCTCTGTCTCTCTCTGTATGTCTGGTGAGCACACGTGCCCTATAGTAAAAACCTCTAAAAAAAATGTGATACCTATTTTGGATACATTGGGTTAAGTAAGAAAAAAAAGCATTAAAATTCATTTTACCTGCTTTTTTTTAGAGAGAGATTTTTTGCTATAGGGCTCATGTGCTTACCAGAGAGAGACAGAGAGGTAGAAAGTGAGAAATTAGCCCCTAGGGGGAGATGGTCATGCCACAATCCCTTCTCCATTCTGCTCTTGGGACTTTGCACACATGCACATGTGCCTGCTGTGAGTTTCAAGCCGCTGGGTTCAGGACTCAAACCATGGTTAGCTGTGAGGTTGTCTAGTACCTTAACTGCTATGCCACCTGCTGACCCTTATCTGCTTCTTTTTCTTCTTCTTTTTTTTTCTTTTTTTGGAGAGGTTTTTGCTATAGGGTGCATGCGCTCACCAGAAAGACACAGAGACATTACGCCAACTACTGGTCTCTCTCTCTCTCTCTTTTTTTTTAAAGAGATTTTTGCTATAGAGAGAGACAGAAAAGCAAGAAATCACCCCTGGGGGCGGGGGGATGGCCATTTCACAGTCCCTTCTCCTCCATTCTCCTCTTGGGGTTTTTTTTTTGGGGGGGTACACATGCACATGTGCCAGTGTGTTTTAAGTCGCCAGGTCTGGGACTCCAACTGGGGTCGACCCATGTGGGAGTCCAGCAACGTAACCATTGCATCATCTGCTGGTCCCTTACCTGCTTATTTTTAGATTTATTTTAGAATGTGGCTAGTAGGTAAATCTAAAATCACCTGCCAGGCCCCCAAGCTCTGTACATCTCTGCTGGGCAGCGCTGCCTTAAACACCTCATAACCAAAGCTGAATCTTATTCCTCCGACCCTGCCCTGAAAACCACTCCTTCACTTTCAGCCAACATGGGAGGCTCATCCCAGCTTGGAACGACAGTGGAAGTCTTGCAGGAGAAGGTCGGCAACCTCCAGAAATCCAGGCTTAAGGTCAGTATCCCAGCTGAGAAGATGAGGTGAGCTGGCAGTGGACTCTGAGACCCCACGGCTCTCCCCCATGCAGTGTCTGACCTGGACAGCAAGGAGGCTGGGGTGGAGTGGGCTCAGAGGGCAGCAGCACCCGTAGAGTCAGAGCTGGGCCTGGAAGGTGGCGGTGTGATCCCTCCATTGGGTTCTCAAGTGGCTCCCACCTGCCACCTTGATAGCCACCATGACATCCTGCCTTCCTCATCCCTCCCTCAGGCCCTGGTACCTCAAAGGCTCGGGCCTTGCATGTCTGTGTCTTCCCCTTCAGGAGGAGGAGCTTGAGAGAATTTGGGGCAACCAAATCGAGATCATGAAGGATCACTATGTCATGCTGGACAGGACAGTGGACGAGCTCCAGCTTCGCATGAACGACTTCAAGGTTTGGAGGTCTGGGCGGGTTCAGGATGGGTGGGCCCAGGACAGGTTGGCACCAGGAGAATTCTCATATCGATGCTTGGACCCTCCCTAAAAACTTTGCAGGAGGGGTACGCACTGCCAGCTGGGGAGCAAGTGGACATTCTACCATGAGAAAATTATATTTCCATTGAAACAAGTAGATCCTGCCACTGTCTACCCCACATATAAACAAAAGGACCTGGATGGAGTCCATCACTGACCGCTGTGTCCCCCTGCCCTTGAAGGGCAAAGTGAAGGCTCAGTAGCATTTGCTGAGTGAAGCGATGAATGAATAAGAGGGTTTCTTACACCAGTCGTTATAACATCTCCCCTAAACCAACTTGTCTAGGGAAAACGAGGCCTCTCCCTTAGTCTCTGGGCTGCAGGGCCTCTCTAGGCCAGCAGATCTGCTTATAAGATAAACGTGAAGATGGACACAGGCCTCCTGCCTGGGAGTTCACTGAGCAAGGTGCCTTCCCCAGTGGGCCAGAGGATCCTGACGTGCTGAGCTGGCCTGCTGGGTCCTCAGCACAAGAGGTGCCCTGGACTTTTGCAGAATGGGCCAAGGGACAGTTTCCTCTCCCAAAGTATAAAGAGACAGAATCCCAAACAGAACCAAGGTTCTTACCCTGGGGGCTTCTGATCCTCAGTCAGGGGCTGCTGATGGGGACGCACTGGGATGTGAAGGATAGAAGAGGGGACCAAGGCCAGCTGGGGCTATCACCCCCTCTCAAGGTCACTGGATGATAGAATCAGGCTGGGCCCCACACAGGGCAATTTTAAAAGGAAAAGAACTTATAAAAGGGGAACCAGACTGGCTTCGTGGCCTGTGGTTGGGAAGCTGGATCCTTCATGGCCAACCCTGTGGTTTGTGTCCTGGCCCCAGTGGCTTGAAAAGCATGCTGAGCATGTGCGTGTATGTGCCCAAAGTCCTGGTGGGGAGAAGAAACGAAGGGGAAGCGATTACAGAGTGACCATGCCCCTTCGGATCGCGCAAGAGCAAGGCCCTGTCCAAAATGTAATTGCTTATAAAATTGGCCCCGGGGGGCAGCCTGTGGCATGGTGGTTGGTGGTTAAGGCAGTTGATCCTACGTGGCAACTGCACAGTACAAGTCCCAGACCTGTGTGCTTGAGACGTCCACTGGGTGTGTGGGTGCATGCTCAGACTCTGGAGAGAAGGGATTGTGGTGTGGCCCCTCCCCCAGGGGTGCTTTCTTACTTTCTCTCTTTCACTCTCTTTCTCTGTGTGTGTTTGTCTAGCAAACACTTGTGCTCTCTAGCAAAAAGGAAAAAAAAAAAAAAAAAAGATTGGCTCAAAGCAACTGGATATCCACCTGGGAAAAAATGAATCTTGACCTCACTCCATACCCCAACATTAACTAGGCATGGAGCACAGACCTAAACAAGATTTTGTTTAGTTTTGTTTTTTTTTTTTTGAGAGAGATATTTGCTATAGGGCATGTGTACTTGCCAGAGAGACAGAGACAGATAGACAGAAAGTGAGAAATCACCCCCCAGGGAGTTGGCCACACTGCAATCCCTTCTCCTTTTGGGATCTTGGGCATGCACACACATGCACCCGGTGTGAGTTTTAAGCCACCAGGTTCAGGACTGGAACCGTGTCAACCACATGGGAGTCCAGCAATGTAACCATCACGCCATCTGCTGGTCCCAAGAGCTAAATGTTAATACTTAAACCATTAGGTCCTTGGGAAAGTAATGATGCGTTTTGCATAGGAAAACACCTCATGACTTTTCTGACAATCTAATGTAATTCTTCTAGAAGAAAGTAAGAGAATACCTTTGTAATATTGGGTTAGGTAAGATTTCTTTTCTTTCCTCTTTTTTTAAAAAAGAATTATTTGGGAACCAGCAGTTAGCGTAATGGCTATGTCGCTGGACTCCCACGTAGTCGACTGTGGTTCGCGTCCCGGACCCGGTGGCTTAAAACTCACGCTGGGCGCGTGTGCGTGCGTGCCCAAGATCCCAAGAGGAGAATGGAGGAGAAGGGATTGCGGCGTGACCATCCCCCCTGGGGGATGATTTCTCGCTTTCTGTCTCTATGTCTCTCTCTGTCTGTCTGGCGAGCGCACGCGCCCTATAGCAAAAAAAACCTCTCCAAAAAAAAAAAAAGAAGAATTATCATTATTACTATTTTAAGAAGAATTTATTTAGTTCCATTTGTTATTATTGCTATTATTATTATTATTTTCATTTGGCGAGAGAGAAAGAAAGCAAGCTGCCAGGTCCAGGACTCGAAATGTGGTCAACTATGTGGGAATACAACACCCTCAACCACCACACCACCTGCTGGCTCCCATTATTATTTTTTTTAATCTGCTACAGGGCATGTGTGCTCTCCAGAGAGAGACAGAGAGGAAGAGAAAGAGAGAAAATGAGAAAGCAGGCCGCCAGGTCTGGAACTTGAATCACAGTTGGCCATGTGGGAGTCTAATGCCTCAACCTCCACACCACCTGCTGGCCCCTAGTAAGAGTTCTTTTACTATTATTATTTTTCACATGAGTTTTCCCAGAAAACGAGAAAGAGAGAGAGGGAGAGAAAGAGCCACCAAGTACGGGACTCGAACCACAGTCAGCCATATGGGAATTCCGGTGCTTCAACCACCACACCACCTGCTGGCCCCAGTAAGATTTCTTAAGACACAAATATTGAATTCTATCTCATGATATATACACTATTTTTTTTAAAGGAATTTTTGCCATAGGGCATGTGCTCACCAGAGAGAGACAGAAAGTGAAAAATCACCCAACAGGGAGGATGGCCATGCTGCAGTCCCTCTCTTCCATTCTCCTCTTGGGATTTTGGTCATGCTTGCACATGCACCTGGTGTGAGTTTCAAGCTGCCAGGTCTGGGACTCAAACCGCAGTCAGCCATATGGAAGTCCAGAGACGTAACTGTTATGCCGTCTGCTGGTCCCTTTATGCACTATGTTTAAAGGTCAAGTGTACTGATCTTGGATACACACTTTAAATGCAGTAACAAGATTGAGGAAAAGGACCAGCGGTGGTATGGTGGTTAAAGCAGCTGGATCTTACATGGCTGACTGCATGTTTTGAGTCCCAGACCTGGCGATTTGAAAAACATGCTGGGCACATTTGCATGTGTACCCCAAATCCTGAAATCTCCCATGGGTATGCTCTCTCTCTCTCGCTCTCTCTCTGGCAAGTGCATGTATTCTCTGGCAAAATAAAAATAAAAATAAGATTGAGGAAGGAATAGTGGGATGGGAAGGTTAATAGGCATAGAAAAGGCAAATATGGAGGGTCCAGTCAATGGTATGATGGTTACGTTGCTTGACTTCTATGTAGTTGACCATAGTTTGGGTCCTGGACCCGGTGACCTAAAACTCAACCAGGGCACGTGCATGTGCATACCCAAAATCCTGAGAGAAGAATGGAGGAGAAGGGATTGTGGCGTGGCCATCCCCCCGGGGGTGATTTCTTGCTTTCTGTTTTTCTGTCTTTCTGGCAAGTGCACATGCCCTATGGCAAAAAATCTCTCTCTCTAAAAAAAAGGCAAATATAGGGAACCAGCAGTTAGCGTAATGGCTATGTCGCTGGACTCCCATGTAGTCGACCGCGGTTCGAGTCCCGGACCCGGTGGCTTAAAACTCACGCCGGGCGCATGTGCGTGCGTGCCCAAGATCCCGAGAGGAGAATGGAGGAGAAGGGATTGCGGCGTGGCCATCCCCTCTGGGGAGTGATTTCTCGCTTTCTGTCTCTCTGTCTGTCTGGCAAGCGCACGCACCCCATAGTGAAAAACATCTCCAAAAAAAAAGCAAATATAGGAGCCAGCAGGTAGTGTGGTGGTTAAGGGCACTGGACTCCCACATGGCCGACTGAAGTTCAAGTCCCAGACCTAGCAACTTGCATTCTCTCTCTCTCTGTGGCCCTCTCTGGTCAAATTAAAATAAATAAATAAATAAAGCTAAATAAAGTAATTCTTTTTTATTTTTTTAAAGGCAAATCTAGAACAATGTTGAATATAAGCCAGGCATGGTGGCACGCCTACAGCCCCAGCTATTTGGGAGGTTGAGTTGAGGATGTGAGTTTGAGCCTAAGCTGGATAACATAGCAAAGCTTGTCTTTGAAAAAAAAAAAAAGAAGAAGGAGAAAAGGAAAAATGCCCATCATAGAAAACAAAGGTGGGAACCAGCAGTTAGCGTAATGGCTATGTCGCTGGACTCCCACGTAGTCGACCACGGTTCACGTCCTGGACCCGGTGGCTTAAAACTCACGCCGGGCGTGTGTGCGTGCGTGCCCAAGATCCCGGGAGGAGAACGAAGGAGAAGGGATTGCGGCATGACCATCGCCCCTGGGGGGTGATTTCTCGCTTTCTGTCTCTATATCTCTCTCTCTGTCTTTCTGGCGAGCGCACGCGCCCTATAGCGAAAAAACCTCTCCAAAAAAAAAAAAAAGAAAGCAAAGGTGAATGCTCAGTGTATAGTTATTTCAACTTTTTTTTTTTTGAGAGGTTTTTCACTATAGGGCGCGTGCACTCGCCAGACAGACAGAGAGACAGAAAGTGAGAAATCACCTCCCAGAGGGGATGGCCATGCCGCAATCCCTTCTCCTTCATTCGCTGGTTCCCTAGTTATTTCAACTTTTCTGTATGGAAATTTTCATAGTGAACTGTTGGGAGACTCTTAGATTTCATTAAGAAAATGAAAATTCAGGGGCCAGCCAGGTGGTGTGGTAGTTACGGCAACTGGATCCCACATCGCTGACTGCATAGTTTGAGTCCCAGGCCCAGAAGCTTGAAAGACACGCTGATATGTGTGTATGAGAGCCCAAAATCTCTAGAGGAGAATAGAGGAAAAAGGATTGCAGCATGGCCGTCCCTTCTGGGGGGTGAATTCTCACTCTCCCGCTCTCACTCACTTTCTCACTTGCTCTCTTTCTGTTTCTCTCCAGAGAGCACATGCGCCCTATAACAAAATTTAAAACAAAATAAAAATGCAACCCACAGCCTGGGGAGAAATATTTGCAACACATCTGACAAAGGCCTGGAATTAAAGCCATAATGAAATACCATTTTATACTCACGAGAATGGCTAAATAGGAAAGAACAACAATATTGGGAGACCGACAGCTGGCATGCTGGTTGGGGGTGCTGGACTTCCACATGGCCGACTGCGGTTTAAGTCCCGGACCTGGCGGCTTGCTTTCTCCCTTTCTCTCTCTCTCTCTCAACTCTCTCACTCTCTGTCCCTCTCTGGTCAAATTAAAATAAATAAAATTAAAAAAAAAAGAAAAAGAACAATAATGCCAAACATCAACAAGCTTATGGAGCAACCGGAACTCTTAGACACTGTTGGTGGGAGTGAAAAATGGCACGACTACTTGAGAAAACTGGCAGCTTCTATAAAGTTAACCATACCCATGACCCAGCAATTCCTGCCTTAGCTGTTAACCCACAGAAATGAGAGTGCCGTTGCTCTCCAAAAAGGCGTGAACACAAATGTCCATCGCAGCAGTATGCCTAACAGCCCCAGCCCAGGAATCTACCTAGTACCACCCACAGGGGAAGGGATAGCAGGACTGCAGCATCGCCCAGCGGGGCGTCACCAGCAGCAGAAGGGGCGGACTACCCACCTACATAGCAACATGGGCAACTCGCAGCGGCATGAGGAGGAAAGGAAAGCAGGCATGCGGAGGAAAGGAAAGCAGGCATGCAAGGCCGTGCCCTGTGACTCCGGTTATATGGAATCCAGAGACAGGCAAAGCTGTTTGGGTAATAGAAATTAAAACAGCGGTTGCTTCTGGGTAGGGCGGGATTGGACTGGAAAGAGCGTGAGAGAGCCAGCAGGCGGCGTGGTGGTGCTTAGGGCACTGGATCCTACGTGCCTGATTCTGCCATTTGAGTCCTGAACCTGGCTGACCGCTTAAAAAGTGCGCTGGACACATGTGCCAGAGGGGAATGAAAGAAAAGGAACTGTAGCATGGCCATCCCCCTTGGGGGGTGATTTCTCACTTTCTCTCCCTCTCTCTCTCTCCAGAGAGTGCACACACCTCAGGGCAAAAATCTTTTTAAAAAATTAAAAAATGACACTTCCTTGAGTGATGGAAATGTTTTCATCCCCATCGGGCAGCAGAGGCACAGGTGTGTACAGCTGCTAGAAGGTAGACAACTGTCAAAGTCATTAGCACTACACTCGAGGTCTGAGCATCCCTCTGTATGCCGTAGGTCTCAATTAAGTGGGGTCTGCTGATTGCTTGAGAACATGAAAAAGGGAGAGGACTATTGGTGGCAGGAGACTGCTGGGGAGAAGACACAGCTGGTGGGAGGGCCACGCTCAATCCCTTCTGACTTGACATTTAAGAGTAGGAAAGTTGGGCCAGCCCCATGGCCCAGTGGCTAAAGGAGCTAGATCCCACATGGCCAACAGCAGCTCAAATCCTGGTCCCAGCAGTTTGAAAGACACAAGGAGAAGGGGGGCAGACAGCAGGTGGTGTGGTGGTTAAGGTGCTGGACTCCTACATGGCCGACCAGGGTTTGAGTCCTGGATCTGGTGGCTTGAAAATCGTACTGGGCATGTGTGTGGGCATGTGTGTGTGCACGTTCAAAATCCTGAGAGAAGATTACAGCATGGCCATCCTGGAGATGCTTTTTCACTTTCCTTCTCCCTCTGTCTGTCTGTCACTAGCTACATGCCTTGTAGCAAATTTTTTAAAAAGACCCAAGTTGGGGGGCCAGCAGGTAGCATGGTGGTTAACTGTTCAAGTCCTGGATCTGGTGGCTTGCTTTCTCAGTTCTCTCTCTCTCTCTCTGTCTCACTCTGGTCAAATTAAAAATAGTAGTGATAAATAAAATAAAGGAAATAATTACTTAAAAAATAAAAAAGACCTAAGTGGGGATGTAAGTGATAACATTGGGCCTGGGAATTCCGAGAGGCTAATGTGAGGCTGGAGGAAACCAGAGCAGGGACTTCCCACATCTCCACCGCTCATCCCAGACTTTGGGACTCTCCTGTGGGGCAGAGTGGACTTAATTAATTAATTTTAAAATAATTTATTATTATTATTATTGGTGCAGGGTACATGCATTCACCAGAGAGACACAAAAAGTGAGAAAGCAAGCGACCAGGTCCAGGACTCAAACCACAGTCAGTCATGTGGGTGACCCAACACCTTAACCATCATGCCACCTGCTGGCCACTTTATTTATTTTTATTCATTTATTTATTAGGTCGTTGGGAAAATCATGATGTATTTTTCCATATTTTTTTATACAAAAATATACCATGGGGGCTGGCAGGTGGCATGGTGGTTAAGGGCATTGGACTCCCACATGACTGACCACGGTTTGAGTCCTGGACCTGGTGGCTTGCTTTCTTGCTTTCTCTCTCTCTCGCTCACTCTGTTCCTCTCTGGTCAAATTAATATGAAATAAATGAATAAATATATAAAGTTAAAATAATTGTTAAAAAAAATGCATCATGAGGGAACCAGCAGTTAGCGTAATGATTATGTCGCTGAACTCCCACGTAGTCGACCGTGGTTCGCGTCCCGGACCTGGTGGCTTAAAACTCGCACCAGGCGCGTGTGTGCGTTCCCAAGATCCCGAGAGGAGAATGAAGGAGAAGGAATTGCGGCGTGACCATCCTCCCTGGGGGGTGATTTCTGGCTTTCTGTCTCTATGTCTCTCTGTTTGTCTGGTGAGTGCACGCGCTCTATTGCGAAAAAAACCTCTCCAAAAAAAATGCATCATGACTTTCCTGACCAATATTTATTTATTTATTGGAGAGGTTTTCACTACGGGGTGCGTGCACTTGCCAGACAGACAGAGAGAGAGACATAGAGACAGAAAGCGAGAAATCACCCCCCAGGGGAGATGGTCACGCCGCAGTCCCTTCTCCTCCATTCTCCTCTTGGGATCTTGGGCACGCACGCACACGCACCCAGTGTGAGTTTTAAGCCACCGGGTCCGGGACGCAAACCACGGTCGACTACGTGGGAGTCCAGCGACATAGCCATTACGCTAACTGCTGGTTCCCACCAATATTTATTTTTAGATTTTTGCCATAGAGCACATGTGCTTACCAAAGACAGAGAGAAATGACTGCCCAAAGAGGATGGTCACGCCACAACCCCTTCTCCATCCTCCTCTCAGGATCAGCAGGCACGCACCTGTGCCCTGCGTGTCTTTCATGCCGCAGGTCCAGGACTCAACCCAGGGTCAGCCATGTGGGATCCAGGTGTCTTATCCACCACGCCATCTGCTGGCCCGAGGTGGATTTATTTTGAATTTTAATAATTTTTGCTAGAGGGTGCATGGACTTGCCAAAGACAGAGGGAGAGAGGAGAAAGCACCACATGGGAAGGTCGCACTGCAGTCTCTTCTCCATTTCTCCGCCCGTTGGGATTTGGGGCATGCATGCCTACTGTGTTTCTCAAGCCACCAGATCTGGGACTTGAACTGCATAGTCAGCCACATGGCACCCAGCTGCCTTAACGTCCGTGCCACCTGCTCGCCCTCACCTACTTTACTTACACCCATCATCACGCTGCACCACAAGAACGGCTGTAAAATGTAGCCTTGGTTCTGGGCAGCCAAATTCCAGCTAATAATGGGGAATTCTGCTCCCGAGGGCGAGAGGGAGAAAAATACGAAGGGCGAAGTAGAAGCCTGACTGCGACTTTGAAGGAATGACCCTACCTTCTGGGGACATAGGAGGCTCTATCCAGGCAGATTAGTGCCGCCCCTGTCTTAGGGTCTAGGAAGCGGCAGACGGCTTCATTAATGAGAGCAGCTGGTCCCTTGTGGAGTTGGGGGGCTGGGAAGTGAGCATAGCGGGTGGTCCGTGTCACTGATGACAGACTGGAGTTCTCACTGGGAGCCTGTTACGTTCAGAAGAGGTGGACTTGCCTTAGATATGTAGGGACACCTAGCGTGAGCGGCAGGTGGTGCTTCCCTTCCCTGGGTCTAATTCCTGTGTGGGAAAGTTCTTATGGTGTCTCTCAGGGGGACAGCTTGCCGGGAGTCCCAGGTCCCTTCCCTTCCAATCCGAGCCCCTAGACCCTTCGGTCTGGGCCTTCCCATGTGCCCAGCCACCTGCTGTCCACCTGACCCACGGCAA